GCTGGCCTGTCACAAGGACATGTTTTTCCCCTTCTAACCAAAACGCAGGTAATCCTCTGGCAATCTGGTGCATAGAGCCCTCCCCGATCTCAGCGCTGAATGAGACCTTTCCCCGAAGAGCAGCCCTGTGTTGGTTTTCCCCAAGGATGGGGCTACAGATGGGCGGTGAAGGGCTGTGCGCGGCAGGAGGAGGTGCCCAGGCGAGGGCTGCGGTGCCAGCCCTGCCAAAGGGCGGCTCTCCTGGAGAGCACCGTCCCCAGCGAGGCGCCTGCCTGCTCCTTGAGCCAGGCTCTGCCCCTGAGCCTGTTTCACAAGATGGCCTGTGGTGGGACGGTGTGGGGAGGGTGGAGCCGGTTAAACCCGTTTCGCCACTGCAGGCATGGTAGGATTTCTCCACTACTGCCTGGTAGGATCTCTCCACTACTGCCTTTAGCTGGGTTATGTTAATGGCATGGCTCAAGAGCAGAGCAGTTGGCTGCCAAGAGGGGGTTGATCCCTAGGGAGCAGGCAGGCAGAGAGGTCTGTGCTGCTGACGGGGTGCTGCAGAGAACTGTGATGAGCTGGAGGTGGGTATTTCTGACCCCCCCCCCCCCCCCCTCTCCACTACTGCCTTTAGCTGGGTTATGTTAATGGCATGGCTCAAGAGCAGAGCAGTTGGCTGCCAAGAGGGGGTTGATCCCTAGGGAGCAGGCAGGCAGAGAGGTCTGTGCTGCTGACGGGGTGCTGCAGAGAACTGTGATGAGCTGGAGGTGGGTATTTCTGACCCCCCCCCCCCCCCCGTCTCTCTACTCACTGATGGGGGTGGGTATTTCCGCCCCCCCCCCCCCCGATTTTGGCAACTTGCTGGTCTTTGATTATTTTTATTTATTTGTTTTTTATCCCCCAGCTCTGAAGGCTATCTTGGCTAATGGGGAAGGGCACCAAGTCCCCTTGTGAGGGTAGGAACCATGAGCAGGGCATCCAGGAGGCAGGCAGGATTGCCTGCTGTGCCTCCAGTGTGTGGTCTGTGTCACAAATCTTGGCTGCTCAGCTCACCCCGTACACCTGCACCTTCTGCAAGTGGGCTGGGTGCCCTCCAAACAGGGGGGAACGTGGGGGTCAGCTTTTGCTGATGCTCTGGAGAAGAGCTGGAAGCCTGTTTGTGCCTTCCCACCGCCCTGAGCCGTGCAGCTGGCAGGAGGGGCAAGCTTCAGGCATGGGTCCTGTGAGAGCTCTGCTGCTTTGCTTCCAGGCCCTTAGGAATAATTTCCTCTGGCCTGAAAGGATCCTGCCAGATCTGAAGTAAAAGGAGCTTTTTGTATGGAAATCAGGTGCTTGTGTATCTGCATGTGAAATTACCCTTAAAATGGAGAGGCTGAAATTGCTCTCCAGGTGCTCACTTCTCATCAGAGCTGCCCAGAGACCTGCTGCTCCCTCCACAGGAGCAGGATGCTTTTGCAGGCACAGTCACTTGCAGGAGTGGCAGAGGGCCACCTCCTGCCCCTCTGTGGCTCCCAAACAGGGCAGTGGGTGCTCGCTGGGGCACTTGCCTCTGAGTAGGGGTTTGCAGGGGGTGGCAGTGCCAGCCCCGGCTGCGCTGCCTTGGTTTGTGTCAGGCCCCGGGGCTCTGCTCATCTTCCCCATTGAGGCTGCATCCTCATGCCCTTGGCACCCACCCTGTTCTGGGTGCCAGAGCTGGGGTCCCCAGGATGGGCTGGCCGGGGGGTGGTGGCTGGTGGTGTCCCCAGAAGCTGCTCACTAATGGGATTTGAGGTCATTAGCTGAACCTTCGCACGTCAATGCCATCATGCACTGCATGAGCATCGCAGGGGCAGCAGCCTCCTGCTGTCCCCAAAAACCCTCTTCTCCTTCCTGCCAACTCTCCCCAGCCATGCCCAAGGGCTGCGGCTGTGTCCTTGAATAACTCTGCTGGCCCCTCCACAAAGGAGAGCTAAACTTTTTCTGGGAAAACCATGCCAAGTGGCTGACAAACAGGTATTTTTCCCTTCTCTCCCTTCCTTGCTGGGCCTGCGGCGTCAGGATTGCTGGCAGCTGAGGCGCTTGCAGGCTTGCTGCAGGCAGAGAGCCATTCCTGGTGCCGGGAGTGGGATCCCCCCGCTGGCAGCACCTTCTCTGGGGCTGGGCAGAGTGACCTTCCCTGAAGGACGTCCTCTCTCCTCTGGCTCCGCTGCATCCAGCTAATAGCCGAGAGTCTTGGCTTGGCATCCGGGCTGCCCTGCTTGGTCTTTCACCTCCTGAGTGCTCACTGCCAGCTGTTCCTGCTGACTCTGCAGTGTTGCAAGAGCTGGAGCTGCCGGTTAAAGTCCGGGTAAACAGGTTGCAAAGCCCTGGTGAGGGAGCAGGGTTTGGAAGGAGCTGCTGCTCATGGGCAGTGGGGTGATTTATTTGCATAGAATAAGATTTCCGCTGGAATAAAACGGCATGAGGAGAGGACGCTCAATAGCAGAGTCGGACTTCTGATGGATCTTGCTTCCTGGGAGGGAGGGGGCTGCAGGTGGGAGGTTTGTGCCACCCTGTCTCTCTGCAGGCAGAGGAAAACAGGAAAAAATTGCCCCAAGTCATGGAGTGCGTCTGGAGTCCCTGCTGGGTGCCCCTTCCCAGGGGATTTGGGGCCAGAGCAACACCGGGGGGCAGGGAGGGGACCTGCCAGCGCAGGCAGCACACATCCCTGATCAGGGTGAGGGAAAAGATCCTCCTCTGGGTGCGTTTCCCTGAACAGACCTGTTCCCTCGCCCTGTGATTTGTGTGTGTGCAGCTGCCGGAGGAGTCTTGGAGATGTGCAGTGGCAGGGCAGCCTTTGGGCCGGCTCCCCTCCCCTCATTTGTCCCCAGTGAGCAGTGACAGAGGTGATCAGGGCACCGGTGTCCAGCCATGTCCCTGCCACTCTGTACAAGCCCTGGGGTGTCCCCTGCCACAGCTGGGGCGGTGTGTGTGCTGCTGTGTGCCAGGGAGGCAGCCGCTCTTGTGGCTCTGGGATGGGGACACTTTTTACATCCAGCTCCCTGGTTTGCCGCGGGACCTTCTTCCTCCTTTCTTGGCTCGGGCGGCCCCAGTGCCCCAGAGGCTGCCGATTCCCAAGAGGGGCACGCTGTCCCTTTGCTGGGGCACCTCACAGGCTCTAGGATGCCTGTGGATGTGGCTTTGCCCACAGGATGCCAGGCAGAGCCTCCCTGCCTCCCCCTCATGGACAAACATCCTTAATCCTGGAGGCTGCTGAGGCCGAGGGCAGGTTGCAGGAGGTGCGGCATCCCTCCCTGTGCCATTTGATGTGGCTGCCCCTGGACTGGTGCTTGTCCCAGGTGTTTCCCTGCTGCCCAGCTCCCGGGGGTGCTGGGGCAGCAGCTGGTGCTGGGGAACTGTATGGGAACATTTACGGCTTTTAAAATGTCCAGCACTCCAGGACTGCAGCACAGGAGGTGGGAGGGAAGTGGCCTTGGCAGCACCTGGGGCGTTCATGTGGCTGTGGTGGCAGCGGGGCTGGTGGCACAGCGGTGTGTAGCAGTGCAGAGAGGTGCCAGCTGGTGCTGGGCCCTTCGGGGACTGTTACACCCAGCTGAAGGACACTGCTCCTCATCACACTGCTCACCGGGGACCTGCCAGCTGCTCCTGCAGGAGCTGTTTGGCTTTGCAGCAGAAATTGCAGTGCTTGGCAAGCCCTGTGCCATGGGACCGGCAGCGTCTGCCACCTCTGATGGATGTGCCAAGGATGGGAGAGGGTTGAGGGGCAGCAGGAGAGCTCTGGAGACCCTAGGGATGGTGGCTGTCCTCCCGTGCTGCCCTGGGTGAGAGCCAGCGGCTGGCCGTGGTGGTGTGAGCCGGCTTTGCTGTGGCTGCCAGCGACTTCCTCCCACGCTGCTGAAGCACAGGGTGCCACGGAGGCGTAAAGGCCGGTGGTGGTTGCCCATCACCACCTCCCAGGAGGCGCCCGCCTGGCCTGGGCTGAGCAACTCCGGCCTCTCCTGGGAACGCAGGGGGAAACAAGGAGCCTTTTTGTGCTGTGGCGGAGCCGGGCTGGCCTTGCGCCCTGTCCCCAGCACCCCGCAAGGCCGGGATGCTGCCAGGCTGGGCTGGTGGGTCCTGCCCTGGGAATGGGGGACCAGCACTCAGTGCCATGGTGTCCCCATCCCGCTGTGCCTGCAGGAGGAGGGGGATACTGTTGGGATGTGGGGCTGGGCTTTCCTGTCGTCACAGGCTGTGCTGAGCCCTGGCACGGCTTCTTGGCTACCTCGGGGAGGACGAGCGCAGCCCGCTGCTTCTTGTGGCTGGGGGAAAAAAAATAGGATAAAGCTGTTTTAAGGTGGGTGCTACCCAGCTGCTGGAAGGAGTGCAGTGAGGCTGCTTTCCTTTCTCTCCAGAAGGACACGGCTGAGAGAAGGCAGCGGTGCCCCAGGGGATGCCAGCCTGCCCACCGGGACATCCCCGCACTGGGTGAGCGGCTTCGCCAGTGGCACTCTGCAGAAGGGAGCTGGAGGGAGCACCAGAGAGATTAAGGGCGTCTCTTGTAAATTTGGAGTCCATACAGAAGAAATAAGACTATATGAGAAACTCCCCATGTCCAAGGAGCTGGGGCTGCCTGCTGCTGTCACGGGGAGCAGCCATGGCCCGGCTCCCCATCCTGGGGGCCACGGTGTCCCCTATCAGCATCCCCTTTCAGGGTACTTTGGAGGGTGCTGATAAGCAGAGCTGTGCTCTGCCGTGTGGTACCGGGCCTGTGCTTGGCTGCAGAGCAGGATAACTCACCACTGCACCCAGCCCCTGCGCTGGCCCTTCTTGTGATGGCAGTGCATTCACCCCGGGCCGTGGTGGGGCTGTGCCGGCAAGGCTGTGTGCTGGGGGTGGCTGTGGCGGGAGCCGCAGAGCTGCTGAGTCACACTGAGGACACGGCCAGGCTGGAGGGGCCAGCGGAGGGGGGGGGGGGGGCGAGGTGGTGGTGAGAGCTGGCAGCCGACCCGACTGCGCCATGCCGTGTCCTGTGGGCTGGGGGCTGGCACGACTGCGCCATGCCGTGTCCTGTGGGCTGTGGGCTGCGAGGGAGACTGAGAGCTGGCAGCCGACCCGACTGCGCCATGCCGTGTCCTGTGGGCTGGGGTCACCCTGAAGTCACCCTCCCCAGGCAAGGAGCCAAGAGGCCTTTGGGGGCTGCTCTGGTGAGTGCCCAGCGGCAGCGTCCCAGGGCTCTCCAGCATTGCACAGTGTAGTGCCCAGTCCCAAGGAGGCTGCTGGTCGGGGGCTTTGCCACAGTGCCAGCTCGTGCCCTGGCCTGGGCTGCAGTGGGGTTTGCCCCTGCGAGGCCCGGGGGAGCTCGGCTCAGCCCCGTGCTTCCTCCTTGCACCAGCACAAAGAGCTCCCGCTGCTCGGCAGGACCCGGCTGCGCTTTGATGCAAGGAAACGAGCTGTGCGGTTGTTAGCTGGCCAGCCGGGGGTGAGCCCAGCTCCCAGGGACCTCCAGCCCAGCCGGGGTCGGCTTTGCTGCCCCCGGGCAGCTCGTGGCAGAGCCGGCTGCAGGTGCTTCAAGCGAGCCAAGGGAAGCCCAACCACTGAGAGCCGGCGTCACTCACTGCCGGGGTGCCGGCACATCCCCAGGCTGTGGCAGGAAAGGCTTCAGGCGGTGTAATCAGCGCCCAGCAGCCGCCGCTGTGTGAGCCCAGGGCGGCCGGACGGGCTTGATGATAATTGCGCTTTTGCGCTGGCACGGCCAGGTCTCCAAATGGGCTCCTGCCGGTGCTGGGTGAGTGGTGCTGAGCCTTCTGCAGCACTGTTGGGCTCCGTCGGGTTTATAAATCCCTGTGCTGACAGCTCATCTGTGGGGTGCGGGGCTCCGGAGGGGAAGAGGTGTCTTTGAGGGGGAAACGACACTGAAACAGCAGCCATGGGTGTGGTGTTTTGCCTGGTTTTCCCACCCCTTTGGTCGATCCCCTTGCCAGCTCTTGCCATGGCCAGGCGGTGATGCCTGTGCAGGGTGCCAGGTTGGCGCAGGGCCCTGCTGCCATGTGAACTCCCCAGGGGTTTGGAGAGGACAGGGACGCTGTGTCCCAGCCCAGACCTGGCTGCCAGAGGTCGCCAGGCTCAGCCGTCGTGGAGCTGGCAGCAGCCACGCGGTGCTGGACAGGCACGGTGCTGCTCCCGGCCCCAGCGTCCCCTCCTCTCCCACCAGGTGGCCTGGCCGGAGGGATCGAGATCTGCATCACATTCCCCACCGAGTATGTGAAGACGCAGCTGCAGCTGGACGAGAAGGCAAACCCTCCCCGCTACAAGGGCATTGGTGAGCGTGCGCCCGCTGCCCTGCTCCAACCCGCCGGCTGGATTCGGAGGCTCCCAGGGAGCCTGGTTGGAGCTGGGGGGGTGAGCGGGCTTTGGTGGGGCGGGCAGTGAGGGTGGCACAGTGGCCCTCAGTGTGGCAGGTGACGATGGCACCACTGTGCTCTGCTGCAGGGGACTGTGTGAAGCAGACTGTCCACGACCATGGCATCCGGGGGCTGTACCGGGGGCTCAGCTCGCTGGTGTACGGCTCCATCCCGAAGGCCGCCGTCAGGTAGGTGTCCCCCATGGCATGGGGTTGGGTGGGGGGACCCCAGGGCGGCGGCGGGGGGGGGGGGGTGGGTTTGCCCTCGGTGTCCCCAGCAGCACTTTGCCAAAGCCGGCTGCTTTCCCAGATGGGGAGGGTCCTCTCAGAGGATGCGCGGCTGTTCCCAGAGGCAGACCCAGAGCAGGGGGTGCAGCCCCCTGGCCGGGTGCCCAGGGGTTGGCATGGTGGCTCCTTTGCAGGTTTGGGATGTTCGAGTTCCTCAGCAACCAGATGAGAGATGAGCAGGGACGGCTGGACAGCACGCGGGGCCTCGTCTGCGGGCTGGGCGCCGGCGTGGCCGAGGCTGTGGTGGTGGTCTGCCCCATGGAGACCATAAAGGGGGGTGGGAGGAAGCCGCCAGCATCCCCCCGACACCCCGACACCCCTCCCCGGGTCGGGAGGGAGTGAGAGCCAGGGATGCCTGGCTTTTGGGGACCTGAGCGCCATGTGGGTTTGCTTGGGCTGGTTTTGTAGGGGAGGAGCTGATGCTGGAAAGCCCCATGGAGAGGTCAGGTCCAGCAGCTGTGGCCCCTTCCCTGCTCCGGGGAGGAGCCCCCCACCCAGGAGCCATCCCGTCACCCATTTTAGTACTGTAAAACCCATGCAATTGCTTGCAGAGGCAGTTTCCTAGGTTTTCCTCTGCAAAATGCACTGCAGGCTTCCCCCGTGGTCCCACCTGGCGTTGCCTGGCCACGTGGGTCAGCTCTGATCTCAGGACTGTCTCTGAAGCAAGGCGAGAGGTGGCCGGCAGCCCTTTGGGGCCATCACATCTCCCCTCATCTTGGCCAGGACGAGCGTGTCATTCTCCCCGCAGGTGAAGTTTATCCATGACCAGTGCTCCCCCAAGCCCAAATACCGCGGCTTCTTCCACGGCGTCAGGGAGATCGTTCGGGAACAGGGTGAGTCCTGGGGAAGTGATACCCTGACACCCTGGGTACTCCCACGCTGCGGGGATGGGATGGGAGGTGGGGGACGGGTCCAGGCTGGGACTGGCGGCCTGGGGAGGTTTTTCTCTGCCTGGGTGAGGCTGGTGCTCCCCTCCAATGCCCTCTCATGCTGCAGGACTGAAGGGGACCTACCAGGGCTTAACCGCAACCGTCCTCAAGCAAGGATCGAACCAGGCCATCCGCTTCTTCGTCATGACCTCCCTCAAGAACTGGTACAAAGGTACGGTGTCCCCATCCCCCCAGGCCACCCTGGCTGCACCACTGGCTCCCTCAGCCCATCCTCAGGAGCTGGGCTTGGACTTTCCATCAGCACACCCTCCGCTTCTCATGGCTCAGCCTCTCATGATGGAGGAAGATGAAAGCCAGGGCAGGGGGGCCCCAGCTCGTGGGGCTGAAGGGTCCTGGTGCTGGAGCGTCACCTTCACCCCCACCCTGAGCCCCTCAGTGCTGTGTGGGCTCTGCGGAGCTGGTGCTGCTGGACAGTCCTCTCCAAACGCCCCGGTCCCCAGCTCAGCATGGCACAAACCCTGACCATGAGCAGCCAGACCTGGGACCTTCCTTGCAGACTCCCTCGGGGATGCTGTGCTTCATCCCCACACCACCACTCTGCCCTCAACCACTCCTCCTTCTCAGGGGACAATCCCAACAAGGTCATCAACCCCTTCGTCACGGGGGTGTTTGGAGCCCTCGCCGGAGCTGCGAGCGTCTTTGGCAACACCCCCTTGGACGTGGTGAAGACCAGGATGCAGGTACGGCACCGGGGCACGGTGTGGGACTGCTCTGCCTGCGGTGGGCTGGGGTCACGCGCTGTTTGGGAGCCGTTTCCTGCAGCCCCCGGGGGCAGGCGCCAGACACCAGGCAAGGTTTGGGAGATGCCTGAGATTCTCTGCCTCCTCGCAGCCGGGCGGTGGGGGTGCTGGGAAGTGTGCACAGAAGTGGGGATGTCCCTGCCAGGTTTGGTGGCCCGCAGGAGCAAAGGGGGATCGGTTCCTCCTGGCGCACCCCCAGCTCTCTGCCTCCCCCATGAAATCCTCCCCGGATGCACCCCTGGCTCCGGCCTCTGACCCTGCTTTCCCATCCCACAGGGGCTGGAAGCACACAAGTACAAGAGCACCTGGGACTGCGCCTACCAGATCATGAAATACGAAGGGCCCCTGGCGTAAGCCCTGCGGTGGGGGCGGGCGAGGGGCGGCAGTGGGGTCAGTCCCCCAGTGGGGGACA